GCGATGTACGCTCTGAAACAAACACACACAGACAGGTGAGGTTAAAGGAGTGTTTCCTGCACTCATCACGTGTTCAGTGTTTGTTTTCTCACCCTGTAGTGGTGCGAGAGTCGGCCCCGATCACCACTCCTCCGTCATACTCCACGGCCATGATGGTGGTCTGACACACGACAACAAACAAACAGGTAAACGGGCTGATAAACACCCTGCACTTATTATCGGACAGCATCTCTCCTGTTTAAACTCTCAGCTTCATCACCCTCCGTGTTCCTCCTCCTCAGACTGTTAAATGACTCCTTTGTCGGGTGAGCTCATTATCGGACAAGCCATTTAAGCCACATTGAAAACGCTCAAGTGAGAAAAACAAAGAAATGTTAAAGTCTGTCCCATAATGCAACCATAGCGTTAGCCAGCTCTCCACGCGTCCCTGTAGTTATTTAAATATCTTCCATCAACCACCCGATACACGTGTGTCTCCGCGGACTCTACCCCCCAGTTTAGCCCGGTCCGGTCCCGCTGTGCTCCGAATCTCCTCACAAACACAGCTACCGTTAGCCGCCGTTAGCTGCTGCAGAACTGCTGTCTCATTCAGCCGCTACCTGCCGTTTAAAGACGCTCCACCGGGACCGAACCGGGCCTGGTTCGGTCCGGCCCAACACCACAGACCATGTACTTACCCCGGTGCTGACTTCCTGGCGGGTCCAGTCCGGCACCAGGTCACTTTTGGACGAAATTTGCTGGCCGAAGTACGGCATCATTACCGGTGCTGCCGCCATCTTCTCTCTATGAATAACTGGACTCAGTAGAGGCTGTCCGCGCATAAAGCCTAACATTATTTTATTTACGCTATTAGCGGAATATCCATGTTACAAACCAACTCACATATGATTAAATTACAAGTTGGATTTAATAACTCAACCTTCTTTCAATTCAGAGAGTCTAACTTAGCTGTATAAATTTCCTCGAAACAGTTTTATTCGGGCACTTAAGTGAACAGCTCTGCAGTTGGGGTCCTGCGAGAAACAGGAAGATAAGGTAAACACTGAGCTGGATTAGACAAACTTCGTCTAAACCTGATTATAACGATTATTTTAAAACATTTAATGTGTTTTTCTCCGTTAAATGGAGTAATTAAACATATTAGAGAAAGCTGGTGTGTTTAAATGAGGTTAACAGATAATTTAGTGGCTGTTGTGTTACGTCTGAGCATCGCGGAGGACCAGACTACAATAAAAAATGTGCAATTTTATCCCTGGTATTTAAAACTTTGCAGTAAAAAGAATACCAACGGGACAGAAAGTAATGTTAACACTTTTTATGTTGTGGAGGAGTTCGTCTTTGATTCGGCATACCCCGAGCCACTGAGTGATCATCGGTGGATGTCTGTTAATTGATTTGTGATCGGCTGTGTTGCAGATGACGGTTCATAACTTGTACATATTTGACCGCAATGGAAACTGTTTGTATTACAACGAGTGGAACCGCAAGAAGCAGGCGGGCATCTCCAAGGAGGAGGTGAGCCTCAAAAGCAATCAGCAATCAATAAATCAGACACGGAGAGTGTGTGTGAAGGAAAGGTGTGTTTATGTGTGTCTGCAGGAGTTCAAGCTGATGTACGGGATGCTCTTCTCCATCCGCTCCTTCGTCAGCAAGATGTCTCCTCTGGACATGTATCCTTCATATCACCTGTCAATATGTCCTCATGATAGTCTGTCTGTCCACCTGTCCTCCTGTCTGTGGTCCTTATCGGTGCTCAGGAAGGAGGGGTTCCTGTCCTTTCAGACCAGTAAGTATCGTCTTCATTACTACGAGACACCGAGCGGCCTGAAGTTCGTCTTGAACACCGACCTGTCAGTGACCAACGCCAGGGACACACTGCAGCACATTTACAGCAATGTGAGACACACACATACACACACACACACACACCTATGAGGGGGTTCATCTATAGAACCAGCAGGCTGAACTGCAGCTTTTCGTTGAATTATGTGAAATTTAATCTGTTTTCTCAAAGAATCTTTTAAGAGTTGAAGTTGGAAAAAGAGAGAACAACACGTTGAATCATGGTTATAATATAAACAGAAATCTGCTCGTTCTATAACGGCCATCAGGATTCGGTCCATGAGAGACCAGAGATTATCACACTGAGGCTGAACTAAAATGTTTTTTTTACCCAGAATTCATTCACCTGAAGGGTTGAGCTGACAGATTTCATTTGTCACATATTAACGTTTAATTCTTTAGTTCAGATCTTTGTGTGTTACAAACTTTACTCTTCAAATGTTGACGTGTGTTTTTTTTTTTTTTATCTTGTCAGTTTGGTTTTGTTCTGAATCCATGACTTCAAAGGGACGGGCTATA